GGGGGGGGCCTGTGATAGTGAAGAGCTGATAAAGCAAGTGTCAGGGTGGGGGTAAAGGGTGCAGCCAAACCCAGCAGGGAGGGAATAAGGAATCTTTGCAAACTGAAGGAGCAGCACAGACGGCTGGGTCTGGAGCCAACCATCGGAGCTTGAGTCCTGCCTCTGCCATTTCCTATTTCTAACTAGTGAAGTGAGTTGCTTCATCTCTCAGTGTCTCTGTTTCCACCTCTTTCAAGGGGAGATGGTAGTACAGAGTGAGTGTCCCTTATCCAAAATGCTTGGGGCCAGAAGTGTTCCAGATTTCGGAGTTGGGTTTTTTGTTTTGTTTTGTTTTGTTTCAGTATTGGAATATTTGCATTATACTTACCAGTTCAGCATCCCTAATCTGAAAATCTGCAATCCAAAATGCTCTAATGAGCATTTCCTTTGAGTCATGTTGGTGCTCAAAATGTTTCAAATTTTGGAGCATTTCAGATTGTGGATTTCCAGATTAGGGGTGCTCAGCCTGTAGTATTTAATTTATAGGGTTAAAGAGTTAACGCACAGCAAGAGCTTTCCCATCCTTAGCACTCAGAACGCATGCAACAAATGTGAACGATTATTATTATTTTCCAGTGTGGCACTTAATGGTGCTTTGGAAAAGAACAGAATTCAAGTGCGCAAGACAGCAGAGGAACAAACAAGGGCAGGCCAGCAAGGAGGCTTGCCCTGAGGATCGCAGCTGGCGCTAGTGCAATTCTTCCCACCCACCCTCTCTCCTTCTCAGTCTCCCACACAGGGCTGTGGCAGGCCACCTGAAACTGGCCCCACAGCAGTCATAGTCTGCATGTCTCCCCTCCACTGCTACACATGCCACCACCAGTCTGGTGTCTTTGGGGAGGAGGGGTCACACAGGAAGAGATTGGCTCTTCTGCACAGATTTTCTCAGGTCATCCAGTTTCAAATATTCTGTCCATGGTCCCCACGAATGCTTAAATGTCCCTGAAATGCCAGCATCATGGCAACCAGACTGCATTTTCTAAGCTGCCTTTTGCACCTGGAAGCAATACAAAAGCCTCTCTCGGATGTTACCAAATTTTTATTTCAGAAAGTATGGTCCCTGCACACATAAATGAATTTTCCAGATAAATAGCACTTAATACTTTAAGCTTTTTATCTTGACTGTTTTAAATGAAAATCTTTCTTAAATATGGTTCATGCACTTGCCTTCCTAAAGAGAAGAGACTACATTTCAGTTAGTTTTTCTGAATGATCAGGGTCAGTGTTCTTATATTATACTTTAAAACTCTTTCAGTGATCAGGATCTGGTAAGGTGCCACAGACTGCCTCCTCGTCCCTAAATGGCCTCAAACCATCATGTTCTTTGAGTTGCTATTTCTGACTTTTAGCTGTTGGTTGGTTGGTTGGTTTTCTTGTTCTGTCAGCATGCTTGTCTCTACTAGCTCTTCCTCCTCTCTGACCAGTCCCCATTTCCAATCTGTAGCAAACCAGCT